TGTTAGATTTTATGTTATTTTATTAATGCACATTCCTTTCATTCACCTCATTTGAGTTATGTTTTCATACTGTTAGATTTGTCCTTTTTTTTAAAGCATGATAGATATACACGCTAGTAGCATTGAGTAATGGCGACATGCTGCTGTGCTCCCGAACACAAATCGTCTCACTGGTTGTATGTGTTGAGGGTTATGATGCGATTACAACCGACTTGTTCTAAACTACATTTCGCCACTGCAGGGATGAACCTCGGAGCTTACATAATGCTTCACAAGGCCCTTCACTATGTAAAACCGTTTTCTTGTGGGTTGTCGTCATCATGGATTTTGCTGTGTCGTACATGTTAAATCAATAAGTGAAAAACTGTATCTGCACATGATAACACTGGTAGTGAAGACAAAAATATATATGCCCATAAGAAAACCATCTTAGCTACAGGCAGATAACACAGATGTGTGTGAACAGCAACTTGGAAAACCAAACGGGCATGAGGGAGAGAGGAGGAAGCAGGTGTGACAGCAATTATTTCTTTACACTGTTGATTCTTCAGATTTTGAAAATGTGCGAAGGGACTTGATAATCTTTACCTTTGCACTGGTTATGTTACTCCACCCACTACAGTACACATTTAAACCACTTACAATAATCCCATCAGGGCCAAGGTCACTTGAAAATAAAGTACTTCACTGTAAACAAACAAGTCTCACGCGATCCAACACAGACATCACCTTACTGTACTGCTGTACATCCCAGGCTTTCAGAGTCGCACCCCAGAGTAGCATGTGGCGCTGTGAGGTATACGGTGTAATGACATTAAGATCTTGTGATAGTATGAATTCACATGACATTACTGCTGTGATGAGCTATTGCACTGATGATAACCTCTAACATCCAAGCACACTGGACACAAACTAGGTCAACTTTGATTTAAATTTGGGAGTCTCAACGATAAACGATGTGCTTAGAATTCAAGTTTGTCCAAACTGCAAGTTTCCCCCATCAATACACACACTGCCTCCTTCAACTGCTATGTTTTCTCATGTAAGCATGTGGATTTGTTTCTTTCCTCTTTTTCTTTTTCTTTTTCTTTTCTTTTTTACACGAGATTACCATGATACAGCAATCAAAACACAATAAGGGCTTAATATACACAACCAAACAGTTAGTGTGTTTTTGTGCACAATTTTACCCCGTCCTCTCTACAGCCAGCGACAACTACCTATATACTGCTACGAGAAAATATCTGATAAAGTGTGATTCCACAAACCTTATTATAAATGAGATCTCACACCGATTTACAGTGTCCTTGACAAAATGCTTTTTTTTCTTAGCTCTCTGGAACTGAAAATTGGTACCGCCTTTAAAAAAAACACAGACTATTTACAGCAAACAGTAAAAAGAGTGTGTACATTTTTTTTTGTTACCTGTAGAAGAAGAGCTCATGTATTAAAGCAGGAATGCTGCTGCACTGTGTTTTGTTAGTGTTATTATTGCAACGTGAACAGGGAAAAGATTACGGGACGGTTATTCGTGCGTTCCCCCAGAGCACTGCTCTGAAGGAGAGACTGAATTGCTGTTGTCAGACGACAAAGAAGAAAAAAACTTTTAGGAGACTGTTGTGAACTATACAATAACACCATTCCTGATACCTCACTATAGTGAAAACAATTAGATTTGGATTAAATGCCTGGTAAAGTTTTCCAGCCATTCTATCGGTATATTCTGTAGCATTTAGAAATTACCTCTCAAATGCTAGCTAGCACATATCTTCCATTTTTATGTGAAAGGTAACCAGAACAATAATGGGAAGTGCAACACGGTGTGAGGAACGGCACTGAGTCACTGCAGATTGAGAGGTGTCCCTGCACCTCATTGACTGCCCCAACAGTGGGGCAGTTAGACAAACATCTTCAAAAAGTGGAAGTAGAGTGCAGCCAAAAATAAATCAATCAATCAAATGTCCCGATGGGTACTAGATCAGTTCAGTTCGGTGATTAGATTAAACACCTTTAAATAAAATGAACTGAATAAAGAGTCTTGCTATTTTATGATTATTCCAATTATGTACAGACTCTGCATCAAAGCATGTCATCAAACATGCCACTCTCCATGCCCTCGATAGAACATCCAAATATATTCCAGTCACTCTTTGCATTTCTGTGACACTTGGATAAAAAGCACTGTGTCTGCTTCTGTTCATATTTCCATTCTTGTCACTGTGCCTGCGTTTCTGGGTTGACACGATCCTGGAAGATGTACAGATTGTTGGTGGCTGCTATGGCTATTATATTTTCAGATGGGTGCCAAGCCATGTGCAGGATTTTCTTGGTGAAGTCCAAGCTATCGACGCCCACATCGCCCCTGCGACGTTTACCGCCAGTGTACACACGGCGGGTTCGCAGTACAGCCCGGGGCTTGCTGCTCTCTCGCCAGGCCTCCAGGGTTACGCCTCGGCCTGTCTCCCTGTCGAACATCCGGAAGAAGCTGTTGTACGCCCCTGTCATAATCACGCTGGATCATGGAGGAAAGGAGAGGAGAAAGAAAGTAAAGAGCGGGAAGAGACAAGCGGTGTTCATGGTAGAATGAGGGTGAGGAAAAAGCAAACTGAATACATGAGGATTGATTTGATGTCTGTAAAGCTTGTCTCTGGGATTGATTTAAACGTCGGATAAAGCAGGAGGCCGGGCATTTAGGAAATCACTGTAAGCAGTAACACACTGACACAGCAGTCTGTTTTTGCTTCCAAATCTACTTAAGCTGTACTTTGTCTGTTCCCCCACCGCCTCTTACCTGTCTGAGCTGTTCCAAACACACTCAAACTTGTCAAAGATGCAGTCGTTTTCGTAGAGGGAACACAGCTTACTCCTCAGGTATTCATGGACCTGGGGATGATGCAAAGAGTCAGCTTAAGTTTTGGGGAAGGTAGCATTATCCTGCTCAGGACGCTCACATTTTGGCATTTTAATCTTCTTTCTTGTACTTTGTTCTCATGTATAATACACCGGCAGTAAAAATGAGAAAAGGCTTCCAGATTTTCTTTGGGATCAAGTTGATGCTGCTGAATTATGCTGATCAACTGAATGAATTGTGTATAAATGTAAAAAATATATGTATATATTTGAATTTGAAAAGCATAACAAACACCCAAAATTTTCACATTTGATTCAGACAGATTTTATGTCAGACAAATAATAAATAACTACTAGTTAGTTAATAACTAACTAGTAGTTTCGCAACTAAAATGATCATATTTTAACAATTTCCAAATAGGTGCGGGTAAATTCCTCTACCTGAAAGGTCTCCACTGGGCCTTTATCCATATTGATATCCCACACCTTAGCGGTGAGGTAGTCTCTGGTCAGCAGGTAACGTCCGCTATGGCTGAACTTAACATCCGACACAGAGGAAATAATCTCTGAGAAGAAGGAGCGGTTCCCTGGATCCTCAGGCTCCTCAAAAACTAATCAGACAGAAATATAATTGCATTGCTTTCGTGAGAGCAAGATTCCTCATGCACAGCTTGCAGTAAACTCTTTAAAATGTTTCCTCACGTTTGGTATGTTTGTCGCAGAGAGCCGAGGCTCTCATGTCACAGAGGCGCAGCGTTCCCTTGCTGCTGCTGTACACGAACAAGTGGCAGTGGTGAGGGTGGAACTCTGCCGCCGTTATCACCTCCGTCAGATCCTCCATGTTTGCTGGTTTGATGTCTACAATATCTGAGAAGCAGAGCCATCAAGGAACAAACAGTGCAGACATTAAGCACCACATAAATCTGGCGAGCTGGGTTTGTACCACAGCCACACCAATTCCATGACTATGTTTACATTTTGTCACACTGAGGCAGCAGACATGCAAACAAATCACTTATATTCATTCATGCAGTCTTTTTATTTTCAGATGATCTACACGTTCACAACCTAAATTCATAAAGACATCCCGGAAAAAAACCCAAAACTGCACCCCATCCTATCCCCAATATGCATGCACACGCTGTTCCTCTCTGTTCTATTTGTGGTAGTCCTGTGTGGCTCAGAAGAAAGTGTACTGCTGTGTGAATTATTTAAACTCGTCTGCCATAGATGCCTCTATGATTTTCTAGGTCAGCTTCCATTTGAATGGGGAAATCACAACATGCAGCCAGTCCCACATGCTACCACCTGCACTGACTACACAGCATTATAATGGAAACACAAATCCAATCAGAGTCACGTTGTTTACATTAAGTATAAATCAGAAGATGAATTTGGATGATTGGTTATGATTACTGTACATGACCTGGAATTGGCTCCATGATATTTTAGGCATAAATTTAGATAACAGTGGATGAAATACAAACACAGATTAGAAGCATATGGGATGCGTTCCCAACACTGCTCAATTTCTTTTTTTTTAGTAAGCAAACTACATACATAATGATCAATACTGATAACTAAAATCATGCACACTAAGATACTAGCATGAATTGTTTTACGGTGTACCTTAACACAATTAAAATGGGATTTTATCCTTTACGGACACTTCACCATAAAATCAAATACAAAAAAAGCTTACTGACGCATACTGCACTTTTTCTTTTTTTTTCCCTTTTGGTGTAGACAGGAATCTTTACCTGTTTAGGTATATTGTTCTCATTGCTGTTTTACAACTACCATGAGGATACAGTTATACTTTAACAATGAACAGTGATCTAATTCATACTGCTGAATTCTCTGTAAAATTCAAGGAGTTTCCACCACACAAAAGTCTGAGAGGAGCTATAGAATTATTTAAAGCAAATGGTCATGGTTGGTTAAACTGAAAATAGTGTGTTATAATACAAAAAAAAGACAGTAAGGATACTGAAACTGCGGTCTGTGATGCCCAGGTGCCACATGTTGATGCGGAGGTCATCAGCAGACAGGTAGGTTTCCCCATCGCTGTTGACTGAGATGGAGTTGACATGGTAGGTATGTCCATTAGCGAATACTCTTCTGGGACGGACCTCCACCATTAGATCTGTAGGTTTCAGCACTGGCACCTTAGATGGTGAGAGATAAAAGATTTAGGGCTGAGGGGAGGAGGTGATAAGAACAGGAGGAGTAAAATCATAGGACAAAAAGAAAGACAACAACGAGAAAGGACATAATTGGAGGACAGTAGAGCCATGGATCATTTAAGGACAGGAGCAAAAAGACAGACACTTGTTTTGATGATTAAATGTTAGCCTGATAAATACTTGTATCAGGCATACCCAACAAAATGAAAGTGTGCAGTTGTATGTGTGTGTCCGAGTACCTGTAGAGAGGTGATGGTAGAGATGTCCTTGAGCCGTCCCTCCTCATCTTTCAGGTTGTATCCTTCTGGTCTCTTGTCTCTCTCGCTTACCTTCCACAGTTTAATAGTCTTATCTGTGACAGGCATCGGGATTTGCGTGCCAGAAAATGATGATTACATTCGTCTGTGAAGGTTCTCAGTCATCCAGGTCATCGTAGTCAAAGGAGCTTGCAAAGAAAAGCGTCTGGACTTCTTTAAGTTGCTAGAACTTAAAGAAGTCCAGACGCTTTTCTTTGCAAGCTCCTTTGACGATGATTACATTCATTGAAAATTGCAAAGCACAACTTAAGAAAAATCACATTTGCAGCTAATTTAAAACATAATACTTAATTCATGCACCAAATTTAGATTTTTTTTT